AATAAGGTCATGGAGTGCCCTAGCCAGTCTCCAGACCTCAATCATATAGAAAATCTGTGGAGGGAGCTGAAACTTTCAGTTTCCAAGAGACAGCCAAGAAACCTTAAGGATTTAGAGAGGATCTGCACTCTCAGGAAAAAAAAGGTACAAAAGTTGTCACTGGGGCGATACCTTTTCAAAAGGCACACCTTTGTACCTAAAGAGTCCTTATTGGTACCTTAAAGGTACATATTAGTACCTAAAAGGTACAAAAGTGTACGTTTTGAAAAGGTACCGCCCTAGTGACAACTGTAGGCCTACCTTTTTTTTCCTGAGAGTGTAGCCCACAGTCCACACACTCATAATATCCTAATACAATAGCTAGCAACACATTGATTCACTAGTCAATAAATGTAGAAGTGTCTGTGTTTAAAATGTTGTCTTGTCGACGAGATCCTTAGGTGCGTGGACTTGATTCCGGCAGGGACTCAAATTCTTAGCATGTTTGGAAACCTCCGGGTAGACGTAAGACCATGAAGAGAGTGGAGCGATCCTTAATTTGGTGGTCTAAAAACGTGTCATTGTCTTCTAGTTGTTTATCTGTGTACAGCAGCCTCAGGGACGATGGATCATCCCCTGTGGGAAGAAAGACACCTGTCCACACAATCTGTATCTTCCATTCCAACCTCTCCCACCACCATGGGCAAGACCAAAGAGCTGTCAAAGCATGTCAGAGACACGAGTGTAGATCTGCACAAGGCTGGAATGGACTACAAGCCCATCAGCAAGAAGCTTGGTGAGAAGGACACAACTGTTGGTGTGAATATTCGGAAATGGAAGAAATACAAAACAACCATCAATCGCCCTCGATCTGGAGCTCCATGCAAGATCTCTCCTCATGGGGTAAGGATGATCATAAGAAAGGTGAGGGATCAGCCCCGAACTACGCGGGAGGAGCTCGTTAATGATCTTAAGGCAGTTGGGACCACAGTCACCAAGCAAACCATTGGTAACACACTACGCAGCAATGAACTGAAATCCTGCAGCGCCCACAAGGTCCCCCTGCTCAAGAAGGCACATGTACAGCCCTGTTTAAAGTTTGCCAATGAACATCTAAATGATTCAGAGAAGGCTTGGGAGAAAGTGCTGTGGTCAGCTGAGACCAAAATTGAGCTCTTTGGCATTAACTTGACTCGCTGTGTTTGGAGGGAGAGAAATGCTGACTATGAACCCAAGAACACCATCCCTACAGTCAAGCACGGAGGTGGAAACATTATGCTTTGGGGCTGTTTTCCTGCTAAGGGTACAGGACGACTTCACCGCATTGAGGGGCAAATGGACGGGGCCATGCACTGTACAATCTTGGACGAGAACCTCCTTCTCTCAGCCAGAACACTGAAGATGGGTCATGGATGGGTCTTCCAGCATGACAATGACCCGAAACATACCGCCAAGGCAACAAAGGAGTGGCTCAAGAAGAAGCACAATAAGGTCATGGAGTGGCCTAGCCAGTCTCCAGACCTCAATCATATAGAAAATCTGTGGAGGGAGCTGAAACTTTCAGTTTCCAAGAGACAGCCAAGAAACCTTAAGGATTTAGAGAGGATCTGCACTCTCAGGAAAAAAAAGGTACAAAAGTTGTCACTGGGGCGATACCTTTTCAAAAGGCACACCTTTGTACCTAAAGAGTCCTTATTGGTACCTTAAAGGTACATATTAGTACCTAAAAGGTACAAAAGTGTACGTTTTGAAAAGGTACCGCCCTAGTGACAGCTTCTGTACCTTTATTTCTGAGAGTGTGTAAAGAGGAGTGGATCAAAATCCTTCCCGAGATGTGTGTAAACCTGGTGACCAACTACAAGAAACATCTGAACTCTGTGCTTGCCAACAAGGGTTTCTGCACCAAGTACCACGTCATGGATTTCTTGTTTGATATTCTGTCTCTATCAGTTAAAATAAACTTACCATAAAAATGATAAACCCTTCTTTTTTTTAAGCGGGCAAACTTACAAAATCAGCAGGGGATCAAATAATTATTTTCCCCACTGTATGTATCCTGTTACTTGCTGTCAAATTATAGATTACAAGACCTATGGCTCATACCCTCTTGGTTTATCAAAAAAAATGAGAAGACTTGAGACTTGTTCAATGATGGTGGTACAACTTTGGTGAAAAAGATTGGTTTCAAAAAGCTTTGAAGAGCAAACAGTGCGGAACTTATTTTATTCATCATTTAAAAAAAAATTATCATAAAAAAAAAATAATTCAGTATGTTCTCAATACATTTAACAAACCATGTTTATCCACACAAAGATGCAATAACTACATAAAATAAATGAAATTAAAGGAAAATTAAATAACAACACAAGCATATATTAAATGAATTTGGCCGCAATTATGTCAACAGATGACGTCATGCACATGCAGGCCAAGAGCAGTTGAATTCTGGCTGGGAGTCCAAATTTGGCACAACACCGGTGGAGGAAAATCCTTGTGCTGTCAGACTGATCATACTGACCAATGTAATTTGAGTTGAAATGACTTGTTCAACCAAGTTTATTATACTGGAAAAATTTAAGGCAGCAACTGAATTTTAAATTGTAAGTTAAATTAGGTGGGAACTTTTTACAGTATACAGAAAGGCAAGTAGATCAATGCAGAATGCATTACAAAAAAAGTTGCAAGTTAAGACTTCATGTTGCTCCAAACATTTGTGATTGTATTCACACTACACAGCCTTTCAATAAAATGCATTTAGAATTAAAAAGTGTGAAGCTAAAGTTTGCGAAAGGAAAAACAGTCTTTCAGTTTCAATCACAGGAGTGAAACAGACGATCAGGTTCAAGAAATACTGCAGAAGACTGAAGGCTGGGAAATGTATCACAGAAAAATGAAGAGGAGTAGCAGCATGTTCAGTATTGTCAATTGTAAGTTGTCTTGAAATAAATTACTTTATTACTGCAGCAAATATAAGTTAAGCAGCACTATGTGTTTAAAATAGGCACTGCTATTTGTCATGTAAGAGTATCTGCAAATTCCTTAAATGTACATGTAAATTAAAAAGGAAAAACTCAATTTATTGAGAATATGTAAAAGGAGATAAATTTACATGCAGCCGGTCATCTTCACAAAACAAATTAGGACCCTTATGCATCTGGATGTAGGACTACAATTCCCACTTGTTACACAGCTACTATCATATAAACAATAGGGAAAAACAGCTCCTATGTGGCGTTGCCATTCAGAATCCAGCATTCAGACAGACAGTATAATGAGATTGAATTATATAGTGCATGTATGTAATGAGTGATTTGATCTTTCTGTTGTAGTTTCAGATAAAGTTCCAGATAAGAGGATATGTGAGATCAGGATTGTGTTGCTGGGGAAAACTGGAGTCGGAAAAAGTGCCATTGGAAACACTATCCTGGGCAGAAATGTGTTTCAATCGCCAATACAGTACAACTCTGAAACCAGTGAGAGGAATGATAGGAAGATCAGAGTGACTGACACACCTGGATTTTTGAATGTAAACATTAGTAAGAAGGAGGTTCAAAATGAAGCCAGGTTCCCTGGTCTGTGTAGTAAAACAGAGATGATGGTGAAAGAAAATGGAGGGACGCACTTCACAAAAAATATATTTCATGAAACCGAGAAATACATGAAGAAGAAGAAACTGGATGAAAAGTTGAAAGAGTACAAACAGGAGCAGAAGATGGTTGAGCAATCTGAATGGCAGAAAATACTCTGGTGTTTAGCAGAGATTGAGACTGATGGTGGGTTTGAGTTCAAGCTTCCCTCTGATTCAATGAATCAAACGCTCAGTGGAGACTGTGAGCAGAGCTGGTTTTTACAGGTGAGTGTGTTTCTGTCCTCAAACTACACTCACACTCACACACACACATGATCTGATGGTGTTTTATTTGATCAGGACAGGCGTCTCAGATTCATCAGATCCTCAAACACCGATTGATCCTGTTATTTGTCTCTGATGCTCTTGTCACATCTGATGCTCCTGTTTCACTGCAGGAATCTCAGCAGTTCATGATCTTCATTATCATCACCTTCATCATCAGATCATTTTTATCAAACTCAGAGCTTAATCACTCTCCCAATATGATGTGTTTTCTGTTCATTGTGAGCTGTAAACACTTATTTACCTTCCTGCATCTCTTTATTAATGTAAGTTACATCTTAGACTATTTTGTGGAATATTTGACTATTTAATTAATGCATTACAGCTGCCAGACATGTAATGTCTTGATCTTAAACCCCGATGTGTTTCTGTTGAACTGCTGATCATTCCATAAAATCTTGCATCTACAAAGCAAATCTCAGTTTTTAATTTAATTCGGATGTACTGACCGTTTTATCATTTAAGACTTCTTATTTCAGCTATTAATTGATCTTGTCAAGATGATATTTCATTAGTTTGTTACTAGATTTCAAGTGTAACCTAAAGTCAGAACTGTTAATAAACCTATCCTCTTATAAACTATAAGGTTTGATTTAATATGAATGTTTAAGTACTTCTCAGAATAAAGGCTCATTCTAACAATATTGTGCTTTTTTTACTCTTTTTAACTTTAGCAGAGGGTGATGGTGTTAGATGAAAATGTTTTACATCATAATGCTGTTAATGTTGCTTCAGCCGTTCAAAATCAGAGACAGAAGAACAATGTGGCAGTAACTGTAATAAAAATAAGAAAACACAATTTGTTTATGACACTGTGCGTGACGTTTGCATAAGACTAGTTAGCCTACTGTAGAGTGCTTATCAGGAAGTGAAGAGCAGAAGCCATATTTAAAAGGGAAATGGGTGGAGTTTAGTACAGAGGCGTGGTTAGTCCAGTCTGTGCTCATATATAGAGTAAGCAGTGAGGTGCTTCTTCACATCCAGCAGTTTCAGGAGGACTTTCTTTCAGCTTTCATCTCCCACCACTTATTATTTTGGTCAAGGATCCACTTAAGGTATGAAATATATTTAACATGTAGAGCATGTGTAAAGATAATAAATGTATCTTTAATATAAAAATAAAAATGTTTGAAATATGTTTGCAAAAAAAAAACCTGCTGTAACTGAATTAAATCAGCGACTCTTTAATCCAGTAGTGCTCAATATTTAGGCTAACTCTGCTGTGATAAAATCCTGATTATATGTGCGTGTCAGTTCTACGTTTGTAGCTCATTCACGATTCCCCCCTCTCTCTCTCTCTCTCTCTCCCTCCCTCTACCTCTCTCCCTCTCTCTCT